TTTTATTAATTTATTTTTATTTCATTTCTCTTTTGTTAATTTTCTTTTCCCAGAGATTTCTTTTCTTTCATACTAATAAGTTTCGGTCGCCGCGCTTTAATTCTTTAAGAACTTATCAGCCGTTCGTTAACCGTTGCCGTTCGTTTATCTCTACGCGTTCTACTTGCAACTAAAAGTTAATTGTCTCCTAGGCGGCTTACTAACGGCAAGTAGCGGAAGCCATATGTGAGAGTTTGCATGACGGCGTTCGTTATTGTATGGTTGACGGCGTTGTTTGGGGGGTATATCAACGTTGAAACACAATGAAACGCTGTGGAAAATGACACAGTGAGTTAAATAACAGAGATTTTGATGAATTTAAAGAAAATAACAACAAAACGGAGATTCTGTTGCGTAGCAGATTTTGGATCCTAGTGTAATTTTTACAAGCTTATAAATAAAGAAAAATCCATTAAAATGATTAAAATTAATTTACTCTGCATCCGGCAAGCCGCCTTTAAACAGTAAAAACGTAGCTATGTCGAATTATTTTTTAAAAAGTATGTTCTAACGGTAAATATCAGCAAGTAAACTTGCCTAATCTAAATCAGGACTAAAAATTTATATCACTGTGGATCATGGTTTACAAATAGCATGAGGTTAAAATTTTAACATGAAATGGCGGCCAATTAATCAGATGAACTGTTGATTATAATGAAAGTGAAAATTATTTGTAATTCAATTCAATCATTAAAAAATTAATTTGCTTTTTTCCATTAAAAATTGGCTTTTTGAACCAAAGTATTAAAATAAGAGTCTTGATAAGTTCCCTTCCCAAAATTTTGCGACTGTAAAAATAGTCGTTGAAAATTGTATAAAAAATTAAAATAAATAAAAATTGCCTTTACCATGTCCGATTCCATTTTTTCATATTGAGACTTGTTATGCCAAAGTTGTATACAAAACATGTATCTGTATATGTGATGTTTTGAAAAATATAAAAAATATATTCTAAAATCCATTTGTTTAAATATTGTTACGAATATAACTTTAGATTTAAGTTAATTTAGATGAATTCCGTTAATTTAAGAATTTGAATTGTAACGTAAATTTCTACTACGCAGTTTATTCGAATAACTTCACAACTACAACTACTGTATAGATTTTTCTACATCCTTCCATTTCCTCTTTCATTTTCTATTTTGTTATTGACGTACAATTCTTGTTAAACGTCATCATTGATGATCGGTTAATTCCTCTTTCTTTGTTAAGTGGCCCACACACGTCAAACATGTGCGTTCGATCGGTGTGAATCGAAGCAATGTTTGACGTGTGTGGTACGGTGTTCACACCGATTTGCCGGTGCGCACACCGATCGAAAGAAATTAAAAATTTTTAATTTTTCGTTGTGCGACGCGCACATGTTTGACGTCTATGGCCTGGTGTGTGGATATTTTCTCATTTGTTGAGAAATTTCGTGGAGTGCGGATCAGCGGACAAATGGAATACATATGTATTTGGAAGATTTTTGATGTTTTTACACATATTCTACTGTGTGGCAAATAAAAATGTTTTTTCCCGGAATAAAATAAAAGTATTTAATACATTTATATTAAATAAAAATATTTCGTCTTTTTTCCGTCATCACTATCGCGGTCCATCTTCACGCTTCAAAAATAAATATGAATTGAAGTCTAATGGATCAGTTTGTCGTGTGTGGGCTAGGAGCTTCACACCGATCGAAAGCACATGTTTGAGGTGTGTGGCCCACTTTACTCCCTCGCCTGTATATGTGTTGTTGTTATTGTTCACTCAATGTAAGTTTGTATGTGTGTGTTGCATTGGTAGATTGTTCGTGAAGTGGGCCACACACGTCAAACATGTGTATTCGATCGGTGTGAAGCTCCTAGCCCACACACGTCAAACGGATCCACAAAACTTCATTTCTTATTTATTTTTGAAGCGTTAAGATGGACAGTGATTGTGATGTCGGAAAAAAGACCTAATATTTTTATTTAATATAAATTTATTAAATACTTTTCTTTTATTCCGAGAAAAAACATTTTTATTGCCACAATGTAGAATATGTGTAAAAAACATAAAAAATCTTCCAAAACGCTTTTTTTGCATATGTTTGACATTGTCCGCTGATCCGCACTCCACGAAATTTCGCAACAAATGAGAAAATATCCACACACCAGGCCACAAACGTCAAACATGTGCGCGTCGCACAACGAAAAATTAAAAATTTTTAATTTCTTTCGATCGGTATGCGCACCGGCAAATCGGTGTGAACACCGTACCACACACGTCAAACATTGCTTCGATTCACACAGATCGAACGCACATGTTTGACGTGTGTGGGCCACTTAATCCAGATGTTACCAGATCGTCTAGAAACTTCTGTAACGACAGGCAAGGCCCATATAAATAGAGGAAATGGCAAGGCAGTTAGTTAGTTGTGAATCAGATCGCGAATTGAAACAGTCAAGTAACGTAAAGCTGTAAAGTAACGTGCAAAGTAAAGTGGTGTCAATAAAATCGTTGTAATAATCGTAATCAGAAAGAACCCGCGTTTTATTTAGTACGAACTGTATTGGGAAATAAAACAACGTCTACACGGGATTAAGTAAAATCCAAGAACGTAACAATATGAATTTTACATGATTGGTAAGAAGAAATTTATGATTTGCGAATGAATCAAGATCTAAAACATATTCCCAAATCCAATTTGAAAAAAATTTACTTTTCGTTCATTTTTCGCATTTTTTGGTCTAATGGTCTATGTCTAATGAGCAGAACGATTTGTTGCATTTGTATTTATTCTGGCCGTAGAGGTGTATTTTGTCTTTGTTGACAAAATATACGCTATTTTGTATAATTCTACCATGGGTCCTACTAATTTTTTATCTTTATTATTTGATCATACTCAAGCTATTAAAGTCAACTTCGTAATATTCCAAGAGTATTGTAAGACAGCCTCGACACCACTTGTTCCATAAAATTACTTTAGTCTGAACTTGGACATTAGTATTAATCTGAAATTTTACTGATTTGGTCTGGAAAGGTTATTTTCGATTTTTTGAACATGGTTCTGTTCTAAGGGAACAAGGACCTCAAAATATATATTTTTATATTTAATTTGAGCATATATGTCCTGCTCATTCGTCCTCAATAGAAAGGGAATATTTTGTAGTGGAATCAGTAGGAAGTATGATTGTAGCAAAGTGTAATCGCATTTTTTCTCGAAACAGGATTTTTACGAATGGATTTTAACATGTTATTCTGTACGTATATAGTTAGAATAGTGAAATCGATCAGGATCTTCCTTATTTTCTAACTCGGTTTGTGGTCAAAAATTGGGAGTTTTCCAAAATTAAATTCTATATGTTCGCAATTTTGTTAGTTTTAGTGCGATGTTAATAATCCTATTTTATACCACTGCCAGACATTCAAGTTATCGAAAATCTTAACGACCTTGGAAATGAAGGATATTTCGTTCGGACCATATACTCATTTTCAAAGTGTATATGGCATCATACCATATCACATTTATTATACAGAATATTTGGGAACCTCAAATTTCAAAACACTATATTAAATATTACGAGCTCTATCGTGATCTTAATAGGAGGAAAGAAAGATCAATGATCTGTACCTTATGGTGTCTCTGGTGAATAATATACACTCCACCTTAGTAGATGTTTGCAGTACGGAAACATAGGGTCTGTTCCCGTACTGCAAGAAACTACTAGATTTTAGTCCTGATTTATATTAAACGAGTTTACTTGCGGCAATTTTTATCGTTCTCTTTTGAACTTGCTTCATGCGTCTATACAAGGCAATTCGGTTTCCAAAATATTTTTTATTTGTTGTTTTTTCACATTTAAATATATATAAAATGTCAACAAATACGAAATACACAAAACGAATTGCCAGAAAATTGTCGGTACGAGCAATTTTTTTCATTTCTATTCCCCTTGCCCCTCTCTCCTACAATAACTTGCCGCAAGTAAACTCGCCTAATCTAAATTGGGACTTATTATTTTCTTCGATTAATAAGGGAAATTTCGTTATCGTAATAAAAAGTAGTAGATTCTTGCGGTACGGGAACAAACCAATAATTAATACATGTTATTATGTCCCTTAAATCGACCCGCTAATAATACACTTTGGCAACTCTACCACCTGAAAATGGCGAATAATGGGGATTAACGTTACATGGGGCTATACCAAAACGTAGACCGATCTATCCCATTTTCAATTCCAAATATCCTAGGAGTAGACCTGTGATCTATACTATATGGGGTCTGCGGTGAATATTTCTAGGTGTTGCAAACGGAATGAACATTTAATATACACTCCACTTAAGATTCTTGCAATAAGATAACAGATCATATAAGTGTTACAACCTTCCTTTAAATCTACTAGCTAATAACAATGACCCTGTTCCATAACCTGCAAAAAATCTATAAATCGTAATTATTACCGATTTTCCCATTTGTAAATTGAAACATATTTGCCATTTTTTTAATACTAGAACAGACCAAATATTTCTTAAAAATATTTTTTTTAGTTTTGAATAGAGATATGGCGGTGACTCGCACGATACGCCAGGTTATTTTTGAAAATATACTGTCGTTACTTTTCTTTACAACACTTGGCAACTCTACCACCAATTATCAAACGAATAACCGAAACCAAAACCCGGTTAATGTTATTGACTCAGTCGGGTAATCAGTAACGAGCATTGTTTTGCGAGACCTCATTCGTAAACAATGCCGGCTCTCATTTAGTCTCCATCCCACCTCATTCGTAAATTTTCGGATATACCACTTTGAATTCATTTTCATCGCTCATTTTGTCTTCCCCTCCGATTCGTTAAAAGGTGGAACGTTTTTCATTATTTTTAAAATATTGTTTTGAAAAGCAACGTGATTCGTCTAGGCGTTTACAAAATCTCGGGCATTCCAAAACTATTTTTTCCTGATCCCCAACGATTTCCGCAAAAGCCAATCAGCATGGATAGTGGCCAAGAGACAATTGAACAAATTCAGGCTGAAGTGGAGGCTATGCAAAAAGAATCAAAAGAGGAGGAGGCTGCTGAAAAAACTGAAGTTCAACAACCTACATCGCCACCAGTAGCAGCAGCTGAAGAACAACAACAAGAATCGACCGAAACAGCCGTTGCAGCTGCCACCACCGTTCAGCAGGAACAAGGACAATCAACGACAACAATACCAGCTGCAACACCGCCAAAACACATCGAAGTCGAGGAAGAAGATGATGACGAGGACGATGATGATTTCGATGAGGACGAAGAAAAGGATAATTCACAAAAATTGGTAATGGATTTGGAGGAAGAAGAAGAGGAGGAGGAGGAAGAAGATGAAGCTGAGGAACTGGAAAAGGATGCACCCGTAGAAGAAGAAGGAGCAGAGAATAAAAATGAGAAACCCGAAGAAAAACCAGTTGAACAAAAGTCTGAAGAAAAGGTTGTAAGTGCAGACACTGAAATTCCAAAACCCCCATCTGCTCCGCGGGAAGATGAAGCTGTCACCTTATCGGATACTGAAGAGGTACCCAATGTCCCTGAGGGTAACTCGAAACCGGGTAAAGTACAAAAACGTAAAAGTGTGGGAGCCACAGCCACGACCGCAAATACCACTGAGGAACGTGAACATTTTCGCCTAAAGCGTCGCAAAATAAATGCTGAGGGTGCTCCGAAAATGCCACTTACAGGTATGATGCAATATTTATGTTTTATAGGGAGGATAGTTTTCATGATTTGTTTTTTTTCTAGGATATGTTCGTTACATGAACGATCGTCGCGAAGCTGTTCGCAAAGATAATCCCAATAAAAACTCGAATGAGGTAACGAAAGTCATTGCCGAGGAATGGCAACAATTGTCAAGTGATATAAAGAGTGAATATCTTAAGGCTGCCGAAGCCGATAAACAAAGGTGAGTTGGAAGATTCTTCTAGTAAAATTTATTACTTTTCAATAATAGTACAGAATGATTTATGGAATTCGGATGATACACAAAAGCATGACAGTAGAAAATGTACAAAAATTGTATTTTGAGACAGATTTTGGCTTAAGGAGGGGACCCCATTCTCGGTTTCAACATAATTTTTTTATTTCATTCGAACCTATACTAATGCAAGAAAGTCCCTATAAAGTGAAATTTAGCTTAATGCCCGCTCGCAGGTCCTTTTGAAATGTTAAAAATAAGTAGCTTTAGGGTCTTCTTGTGGGTATTAGTGTTAGGTTGGGGAAAAAGAAATCCATTACTTTTTCGGCAGATGGCTGTACTGATAGATTTCAGATTTATTCTCGATGGAAAGGTAGTAAAAAAATATTTTGCTTTTTTTTGTTTGGTGCATTCAGTTGTGATTTACAGGGTATTAAAAATGGAAGTGAACAAAAATAAAATTCGTTACATTTTAGTTTTTTTTTTTGCAAATGCGAAAATGCAAGCCAAGCTTCTAAAATTGTGAATTGGCCAGTGTCGTGTTCCACCAGGACAACGCTAGACCACACACATCTACAGTGACTCGCTAGAAACTTTGGGAGCTTGGTTGGGAAGTTTTAACACATCCGTCATACAGTCCGGACTTGGCACCAAGCGATTATCATCCTTTACATGCATTGCAAAATTTCTTTAATGATAAAAAATTGGTATCTAGGGGGATTGTAAAAATCGATTTCTAGAGTTTTTAGAAAATAGAGAGCAGGACTTCTATGAGAAAGGTATTATGAATGGCAATGTCAACAAACCATACAAAAAAACAGTGCGTATCTGACATTTCGAAGCATGTCGGGGGATTTCTTTTTCCTAATATTTTCTGAGATATGGACCTAAGTTCCGTTAGAGTCCTAGTATTTTTCCATGCTTTTAAAAATTCACTAAGGCAAGATGGGTATCGATGTGAAGCTTATTCTAGAAATGTAATCACATTTCGGCGAATTCCATACTATCCATAAAAGAAAGCAAAAAATCCACGGCAGAAGGCCGTGTCTTTATAAAGAGACTTTGTCGGGAAGCCGATTTTGGTCAGTCAAAAAAAAAAAAAAAAAAAAATACAATCCGTATGAAATTGATGATTGAATTAGTAAATGGTAAAGACTATAGATATCTCAGAAGGGCCATGAACTATAATTGTTCCCTGAATTTTAAATTGTATACAAAATAGACTCATCGGGGTTCCTATGAAATCCTAACAGCCAATTTTGTTGGAAAACGTACCCTAATTTCAAAAATATCGACTTTTGGCATACATCTTTTTATGGGGGCTATCCTAAAAAAGTGGACCAATATTGATAATTATTGTTGAGAAGATGTATTAACCTATAAGAAATGAGCCAAAAATCGCCAATATACTGACTTTTTGGAGGAAACATTACTTGAAGGATATAAATAATACCTTCAACTAGTCTCTAAAGTCTCAATTTAGCTCGTTTAAAAAACAAGTTGCCAGGTTTTTCTTGTCCGATCTCGACTTCGGAATCCTTGGGGATTCCATTCAAGCTCCATTCTTGTTGTCATTTTGTTTATGGTGTGACCAATCCAACTCTATTTCCTACGTTTTTATGACTCATGGTGTTGTGCCAGAATAGATGAATTTATGAATCTCCTATCTACCAAACAGTCGCTGCCACCATACATGAAAGGAAAAATCAGGATTTTCCTATGGAGTTCTTACATGAGTAATGTGCTACTAGACCTCTAGGATTGTCCCGATGTGTTCAACTTTTTGAGTGGGGTTTAAGATCACTTCACCCACGAAAAGTTGGGATCTTTCCTGTTGAAGAGTACAATTTCTGTCTTCGCGGGGTTTACAAGACCATTTGCTTAGACCCGGTCTGACAGAGTTGTAAGGCACCCTGGATTATGCCATATGTGGTAGGCAGATATTTTCTACTAATCAACAGGACTACTTCATCGGCATAAGCTACAACCTTTAGTTTAATGGTATTGAACATTATCAGGATCTCTTTTATCCCCAGAAGCCACAACAGAGGCAAGACGTTTCCATAACAGAGAACGTACGATCCGAAACGACCCGAGTCTTACTCGGTCAACGTCTGGCATTAGGGCTGCTACAACAATAACAGAGGACAGAGTTCTCAATTAGTGCTTGATCAGTCAAAATTTAGAGCTTGAACAAATTTGAAACGGTTTTTAATTGACTATATTTTTGGGCAGATAAAAATACTGTGCCCCACATCTTCATGGAACCCCGCATCCATCGCATTGCTGAACTTAAGGCCTCTGTGTCTCAGCATTAAGTGTCAGGCAGCGCGTTGTGCCTTAAGGCTGCATGAACAAAATCTATGGCGAAATTGTACCTAAATTGTATACTGAACGAACTAGGTATGACAGTGGACCAACGCGTAAAACTAAGCGACTATATATCACCAGTCCCGAGATTTGATATAGATGTCGTTATCCCTCGTAGAGACCATTGGAACCATAGCAACCTTCCTCTGGACGGTCTGGCTTTTTATACAGACGGATCAAAGATGGAAGAAGGTACAGAGGCTGGCGTCTACTGTGAAAGGCTAGGCCTTGAGCTTACCTACAAGCTGGATAGCAAATGTAGTGTTTTCCAAGCAGAAATCTTTGCTATTTGGAAGGCAGCGGAATTGATTAAAAGTCTGGATGCAGAGATCGTTGAACAGGAAACTATCTTTGTGGATAGTAAGGCGGCTGTTAATGTCATCAAATCCTGTAATATCAAATCTGAGGTCGTGCTCGAGTGTAGAACAGTTTTGGAAACACTCACAGCTATCGGCTGTCTTGGTTACCAGGACACCGTGACATCTTGGGTAATGAAAAAGCAGACGAATTAGCCAGACGAGGATCACAATCTGCATATCTAGCAATCGATTGCTAAATCAAACCCCCATCTGTCATCTTTTTCAGAATTTTGAGACATTATTCGACGAACGAGCCAATGAACTCTGGCACTACGAACCTAGGTGCAATGTGTCAAGATCTATTTGGCCGACTCTGTCAACCAAGAGAAAAAAACTCACCGCTGAACTTGGGCAAAGCTGAAATAAGAGTAATGACAGGAGATCATTGCAATATCAGGGCCTTTACTAGTAAATGGGACCATGATGTTACTGATTACTGCAGACTCTGTGCTGACGAGGAGGAGACGGAGACAGTTGAGCATTTCCGGTGTCGCTGTCCACTTCTGACTTACAGACGGCTCACTTTAGACCGTATCTAAGCTCCTTTTCAATTATGGAACTTGCTTTAATACACAACATCATTAGAAACCTAAAGTGGTTAGGAAAGTGCATGTTTTTCTGTCCTTCTTTAGCCATCGAAACTATTCCCACCTTCCCCTTTAATACTTCTTGTTAGTTTCTTATTCTTTATACACTAGTGACTGCACATCTCCAAACTTAACCTAGGGGTCAGATGCGTCACAATTGGTGTTCCTACATCCACCGATTGCTTTGCCAGAAAAAAATCTACAACTTCATCAAATAGAATTATTTTGTGACTCGGAGTTCCAACCAAATTATATTTGCACACATTTGATTTTCCCAACAAATTGTGACATTCAGCAACCAGAAAGCTCCCAATGCCTTATAAGCTGCAAGGCTGTCTGTAAAGATGACCAGATTGCCATAACCATCCTCGCCGCAATTCAAGCTCCTTTTTAATAGCATAAAGCTCGCCAAATATGGACGAGGACTTAATGTCCAACTTGAAGGGGAAATTGTCCTTTGTATACACAACACTCTGTGGTCGTACATTTCTATCTGTTAAATTATTTATTTTTGTTTATTATGTTTATTATGGATTCCACCCCAAAAAAATGCGCTTCAATCACAAACAGCTGTTGTATGTAGCAGAGTTACATTTCAGTGGGCATTAAAGGAAATGTGTTAACTAAAAGCGTAACGTATGGCAACATTACTGTTTGAACAATATTTATAAAAAAAAGTGATAATCCTGTGGGGTTAACGCGCGTTAAAAAACAATGTGCGCAAAAAATGAAAACAATTCCCCCCTCCCTACATACATGTTCTGGTACCACCTATTATCTGTTATTTACAAACGAATTTTCAAATTTTGGGAACATATTTTCAACTTTGACGTACGTTTATTTTAGCGTGCGTTGTTTGTTTGATTAGCGTTGGGCAGGAAAGTCCACACATGAAGGTTGTTTACTCATATGTGAGTATGTATATGTGTACGTCTGCTCTGCGGTTAATATGCAGATACACAGATACTTGTGGTATTTAAGAAATACAGTTTAAGTTTATCTTGAAGACATACACTATGGAACCGGAAAAAATAATTGCCGAAGTAAAGAAACGTCCGGTTATCTGGGATTCCACTGAGGAATGTTACAAAAACAAAACAATGAAAAATGATGCCTGGCTAGAGGTGGCTGCCAGTTTGGAAAAGAATTTCAAAAATATGACGGAAGTGGAGCAGAAGGCTGTGTGTAAGTAGTTAACACAAAGGATAAGTGTTGAAGCACAGTGTGTTTAATATCTCTTCCTCCTCCTCCTTTCACCCCTCGCCTATTGTCTAGTGCATGATATAAATATGAAATGGCGTTCCATAAGGGATAATTATGTACGCTATAAAAAGAAATTGTCCGAAATAAATAGACGTGGTTGCGATATGTTTGAGGGTAAACCGGTGCGTTCGTATATCTATGCCAAACAATTGCGTTTTCTTTGTAAATGTTTGCCAAAGGAGATACCAGGAACACCATCAAAATCAGCAGAAGAAGTTACTCCAAAAACAACACGAACAACCACATCGGTATCCACCGACTACATTGATCCCATGGAATTGGTACAGACCGAAGTAATTGAACCGGTGCCAGATTATCCTACCGTGGTAGCAGAAGATAATGACACGACAACATGTTCCTATACGTTGCCCACTAAAAAGGCTAGGTGTAATAGTTACAACAACAGCTCACCAGGACCATCGTCGTCAATTTATTCGCACACCACAAATTCACAAGATTTCCAATTTTCTTCGTCGAACAAACAACAGCAGCAATCATCCTTGGAAGAAAAATTAACCAAATTTATGGAAGAATTTAAACCACCACGTAAATTCGATGAAGATTTCTCATTCTTTGAGTCGTTGATGCCGACCATACAGGATTTTAGCGGTGATGAGAAATTGGAATTTCGCATCAAGACCTTGCAATTATTGCAGGATATTAAAAGGAGACGTGAAAATGTGCCAAGGGAAAACACACATGTCTTATTTGAAATAAAAGAAGAAATATAAGCGAATTTGTTTTGTTGTAAGGGAGAGGTCCTGAGGCAGATATTTTATAAATATTCGAAGTTATTCTAATTCAAATAAGAAAAACATATAAGGCCCAGTCTGTATTCAACTACACCCTGTTCCACAATTATTTAAAGTTTAATTTGAAATATGATGTTGAAAAATGTATTGATAACTGAAAGTCCTTTTTTATCCTCCATGAAGGATAATACTCACTACACCCTTCACCATAAGGTAGGGAGGTGTATATTCAATTTGTCATTCCGTTAGCAACGACTCGAAATATTCTACTGAGACCCAATGTTAGTAGTACTTTTACATTGTACCGGATTTAGTTAACCCAGTGGGTTTTAATTGTCAATTCTATTGCGTATTTGTCAAATAAATCCTCATAAAGTAGGTTAACTCTGCAAAAAGTTCGGTTAAGGGTTCTCATAGGGTAATACATCTTCCATCCAAAAATGATCAATATTGGTCAACTTCTTACGATAGCCCCCATATAATGGTACCCAATAAATTTCGGATTTTGGGGAGTTTGGATAAATTTTTCAGCCGAATTGGCTGTTACATGGCATTTTAAATTCTCATTGGGTAGCAAATCTTCCTACCAAAAATTATCAACATAGGTCCACTTTTCAGCATTGCGCCCATATAACGATACCCTCCAAATTTCATTATATTGGGGAGCTTGCACACATTTTTCAACCGAATTGACTGTAATTTGGTATTTTGAGTTCTAATTGGGTAACGCATCTTCCTACCAAAAATTATCAATAATGGTCGCTTCTTTAGGATAGCCCCCATGTATCGGTACCTCCAAAATTTCGTTATATTGGGGATCTTGGACATATTTTCTATCCGAATTAGCTACAATATGGTATTTTGAGTACTCATTGGGTACCAAATTCACCCACCAAAAATTAACAATATTGGTCTACTTTTTAGGAAGCACCCATATAAAGATACCTCCAGAATTTCGGAATTTTGGGGAGTTTGATCACATTTTTCATCGTAATTGGCTGTAAATTGGTATTTTGGGTTCTCATTAGGTACCAAATCTTCCTACCAAAAATAATCAATATTGATCCAAATTTTAGGGAAGACCCCATATAACGGTACTCCGTAAATTTCGTTATTTTTGGGAGCTTGGACACATTTTTCATCGGAATTGGCTGTAATTTTGTATTTTGGGTTCTCATTGGGTACCAAATCTTCCTAGCAATAATTATCAATATTGGTTCACTTTTTAGGGAAGCCCCCATATAACGGTACTCCATAAATTTCGTTATTTTTGGGAGCTTGGACACATTTTTCAACCAAATTGGCTCTAATTTGGCATTTTGGGTTCTCATAAGGTAATACATCTTTCTACCAAAAATCATCAATATTGGTCCACCTTTCAGAATAGCCCCCATATAACGTTACCTCCCAAATGTCCTTATATTGGGGAACTTGGATACATTTTGCAACCTGTAAATTTGTATTATGTGTTCTCGTTGAGTACCAAATGTTTCTACCAATTGGGCCACTTTTCAGAATAGCCCCCATATAACGATACCTCCCAAATTTAGGAATTTTGGGGGAGTTTGGTCATATTTTTCTTCGGAATTGGCTGTAATTTGGCGTTTTGAGTTCTCATTTGGTACCGAATCTTTCTACCAAAAATTATCAATATTGGTCCATTTTTTAGGATAGCCCCAAAATAACCGTAACTCCCAAATTTCAGTATTTTAGGAAATTTGGGCACATTTTTTAACCAAATTTCCTATAGTTTGGTATTTTGAGTCACCATTGAGTTGAGCATATTCCTGCCAAGAAATATCGAATTCGGCCATTAACCGGTATTTTGTGAATTATGGGCGTGTTTTCGGTGCCTCAGCCTGGATCTGTTTGGATTCCTACTTTTCGAAGTTTCGATAATAATCTAGTTTAGCAGTTTGGTGTTGGTCCCTGGGGTGGTTTATATACAAATAAAGGGTAGAGTTTCATCAAGGTGTGGAGTTGTATTTCTACAGGGTATCTGACCCATAGAAAGGCATGAGATCTCCGCTTCTCAACCAAGGAGGTTACCAACCTCCAAATACTTCTGGCTAAATAGTGCCTGCAATTCGTTGTGGTAGCATTATTTGACGCATTGTATTGACTAATGTTTGAAGCACCGAACTTTAAACGTCTTTGTCCTCCTATAAAAGGGTTGGACCCACCTCAATTGTTGGTGCGATTAGCTTAGAACGTTCTAACCACCACAAAGCTGGGGATATAATTTTAATTGAGCTCGGTATTCTGAACATCAGCGACCAACATGTTCCTCCCTTTAATGAAGTCGACTATTATTATTTCGAATTCAGTTCCTATTGGAAAAATCCGAAGGGACATTTAGAAGTGTTACATAGGTCCACGTTCTGGTCTCCATCAATTAGTTTAATTAATTTCTAATGATCCAGATGTATTTACCTATTTATTCTGATTTTAGTTTTTAATCAGGTTAAAATCTCCTTATGATTCTAATTTTTTTTAATTGAGATTTTAATCAGGCATAAAATCCGCTTTTAATAGATTAAAGCCTATGCCCTAATTTTACTTTATAATCACTAAATTTAATATTATTTATTTACTATATAACAAATCTAATTTCCCTTTTTCTTCCCTACAGATACCTCAGTGAACTTCATACATTCCTAAAATCTCGCCCGGACATATTGGCCAGTGAATTGGCCAAGAATAAAGTACGCAAAAGTGATGCTGGTCAAACAACTAACACAACTACAACAAAATCCACAGGCAGCAACAAAGATAAAGCAACCACCAGCAATGAAAACACAAAATCTTCAAAAGAATCGGCAAAAGAAAAACCACACATCAAGGAATCTTCCTCCTCAACGTCCTCATCACAAAATTCCGAAAAACAATTGGATAAAAATCGACGAAAACAGCGGACCCCAACACCACCATTTAATGCCAACAATAATGCCGCTACTGCTGGTTCATCATCAACATCGGCTGCCACTTCAGTTTCCGGATCATCGGCTCCCTCAACATCTGCCGCTGCGGCAGCCAATGCCCAGACAGCTGTTACCCACCCACCCGGAGAAATTCCCATATTTACAACGGAATTTTTGGAACACAATAAAATATGTGATATGGAGCTACGCTCTCTGCGTAAATCCAAAACCGATTTGGAACAACAAAATTTTGTTCTGGAGAAACATGTTGAAAATATGAAATCGGGTGTTGAAAAAATGCAAACCGAAAATAATGAACTGCAAGAGAAAAATAGACTTTTAGAAATTTACCTCGAGAAGCTAAAAAAAAAATTAGCACAAGCCTTGGCCTCGTTGCCTTTGCCATCAGCACCCAATGGTGCCACTGTCGAGAATATCGACAAATATATGCAGGACTTGTATAAAATGTCCACCTCAAACTCCCATGGCCCGGCCACACTGAATAAGGCCAAGGATATTATCAGGAAATTGGATTTACAAATACAATTGTAAACAAATGTGCATTTGCGTGTGCATGCGCATGTTTTGTGTTCTGCCATAATGTCGTTTATAAATGTTTTTTTATTTTTATTAATTATAAATATTTTTTAAGAATTAAATTAATTAATTATTTCCTTTAATGCTAAGTTACTTATATATGTTTTAATAAAAAACATCGATACTTTTTTAAAAGTATTTTTTATAAATATAAATTTAAAAAATTGTTTTATTTTGAATTTAAAAATCCTAAAAACGAATAGAATAGAAATCTCCGTAATGATTATATATTAAAGAGGATCGCTGGGGTCTTATATATAATAGAAGAGTTTTACAGAGGCCTATAAGACCCCCGAGGCCTCATTTGAACATTTTAACACCTCCAAATATGTCTTCTACACGTGAAAAACTTCAGAAGTCTCCATTACCTTAGAATAAGTCCTCAATAGAGGTTTCCACGATTTCAGTCTTCACCGATTTTACTCTTATACAGAATAGACAGATTCTTTAGCACCTCCGAAATTTCAGTGGAGGCCTTTAACACCTCAGGATATATCTTCCACATCTCAAAAACTTCAAAAGAAGACTTCAAGACCTTAGAAGAAGTCCCCATGCCGTCAGTAGAGATCCTCACAATTTTCGAAGAGGTTTTCAATGATTTTATATATAAATTAAAAGCACCGCTGGGTCGTATAGAGAATAGAAGGCTTCACAGAGGCTTCAGTATAGATTCGTAAGACCTCTGAAACCTTAGTAGAGGACTTAAACGCCTTAAAAAAATCACAAAAATATTTCAAAGGTAGATTCAGTTGAGGTCTCCAAGACCTCGAGTCAACAACACCACATTCGAGGTCTCCAAGACCATAGGAGATGTCTCCTAACTCTTAGTAGAAGTCTTTACTATTTCTGAAGATCTTATTTGAGCCTCAACTGAGATCTGCAAGACTTCGTTTAAAGTATCCAACACATCAGAAGATAATTCACAACCCCGGAAGAGTTATCCAAGGCCTCAGAAATTATTTCAAAGATGGATTCAGTAGAGGTCTCCAATACCTCGAGGTCTGCAAGACTTCGGTAAAAGTATCCAAGACCTAAGTCGAGGACACCAACATATCAGCAGATATTTCACACATCACAAGAGTTATCCAAGACCTCAGAAAATATTTCAAAGGTAGATTTAGTAGAGGTCTCCAATACCTCGAGTCAAGAACACCACATTCGAGGCCTCAAAGACCTTAGGAGAAGTCTCCTAACACTCAGTAGAGATTCCTAAGACTTCGGCAGAGGTATCCAGATCTAATTAGAGCCTAAGTAGAGGTCTGCAAGACTTCGATTGAAGTCTCAACGACATCGGTCGAGGACTCCAGCACTTCAGAAAATGTTTCATGCCAAAGACAAGGTCTCCAAGACCTCAGAAAATATTTCAACGATAGATTCAGAAGAGGTCCCAAGACCTCGTGTCAACAACCCCTCTCCAAAACCTCTGAAAATATTTCATAGATAGATACAGGGGAGGACCTCGAGTCAATAACAGCATTCGAGGCCTCCAATATCTCTTTCGAGGTTTCCAAGACCTCTGTAGAGATCCACAAGACTTCTGCCGGAGTCTCCAATACCTCATTCGATGTCTCCAAGTCATTTGAATCAAATCAAGACCTCAAAGAACTCACAAGATATCTTAAAGGCATCAGTAGGGGTCCGAAAACATTAGTAGAGGTCTCTTAGAGCATAGAAGTTTTCAAGGCTTCAAGTTAACAAGTTAGCACCACATTCGAGGCCTCCAAGACCTCAATAAATATCTCCCAAACCTTAGGAGAGGACTCCTAACTCTCTGTAGAGGTCTCCACGATTTCAAAAGAGGTTTCCAAGTCCTCGGTAGAGGTCCGCAAGAGTTCTGTTGAGGTCTCCAAGATCTCTTTCGAGGTCTCCAAATAATCAGAATAGATCTTTAAGACATCAGAGATCTTAGATCTCTCTAAAAACCATCAGTAGGTGTCTGAAGCGTTTTATAGAGCTTAGAAGAAGTCGCCTAAACCTCGGGTTACCAACTTCTCATCAGAGGCCTTCAAGACCTCAGTAAAGTTCTCCAACATCACATTATAGACACACAAGACCTCAATAGATTTCTGTATGATTTCGTTTGTGAACTGTAATATCTCAGGAGAGGTTCCAATACCTTAACAAAGTCTCCATGCCTTTGTATAGATATACAAGATATCAGTAGATTTCGGCAAGACTTTGTTTAAGATCTTTTATATCATAGGGGAGGTCTCCAAGACCGCAGAAGAGGTCTCCAAACGTAGTCACCAACTCAATGATCTCAGTAGTTTTCCAAGACCTCTGTAGATTTCTGCAACTGTTTGAGACCTTCAATATCTCAGGAGAGATGACCAACATCGCGAGAATGTCTCCAAGGCCTTTCTATAGGTCTACAAGATATCATTAGAGATTCCCAAGTCCGAAACACAAAATTATAGATATAGAGGTTCAAAAATTCGCCAAGGACTTTAAATTTGTCGAACATGGGCCTACCAAGAACCCAGGAGGAAAAAGCACAGTCACTTCGGTTGGAAAATGTGCCGAAAATAATAAATGTACCTAGAATGGGGCGAAAATTGGAAACACATCGGTTGGGGGACCTCTATCTGGGGGCTAGGTCAAAACGTGAAATTGCATTTGTAATTTTCTGCAAAGCTTTTTTAACCTCCAAGATCCCGATAATCCCAAACGTAGGCTCCTTCGGTTGAAAAGATTAATTAATTTAATTAATTAATTAGATTAATTAATTATTTGTTAATTATCGTGAATTGTTCCCGCAATTTGCCATACATCAGCATTACAGTTGCACCCCAACAATGGTTAAATGGTCGGCGCGCCGCCGCCGATAAGCTCATATATGATGCGCCGCCGTCGCCGAAAAAATCGTTCCACTTCGTTGTTTGGTTGTAAACAACAGCGGTTCTCACTTAATCTCCATCCCACCTCATTCGTAAACTTTCGGTTATACCACTTTGAGTTCATCTTTATCGGCCATTTTGTCTTCTCTTCCTATTCGTTAGAAGGTGGAACGTTTTTTAATTTTTTTCAGTCGGTGAAAAAGGCGCAGAAAAGCATTTCAATCGGCATCTTCGATTAGCAACCGGTATTTCACAACTTTCGCAAACAAGTCTCAGGGAAAAAATACAAAAATGCCAAAAGCTAAGCCAAAAAAGAATGAATCTACCTCGGACAGTGATTCTGGACCAGACGATGTAAGTAGATGGGACGATATGTCATCCAAATATACCGAAGTACATATATATTCCTTTTTTAGCGTGCTCCACCACCAAAAAAATCCAAGGACTCTGCCGCGGATGACAAAAAAAGTGGCGCCAACAGCAATCAATGGGTCCTCGAGCGACAGCGTCAGGTACGCATTAATGAATTCCGTGGCAAGAAACTGATTGATATCCGTGAATACTATGAGAAGAACGGAGAAATGTTGCCGGGAAAGAAGGGTATCTCGTTGTCCGTCACACAATGGAAGAAATTACTAGAATGTGCCGATGAAATAAACCGGGCTATAGAAGAATAGCTGCTGTTCTAAGGTTTAGATGTTCCACACCAACATACCACTATACTGTTAAGGAGTATACAGGCGTTATTTTCATTTTTTTCTTTTTGTTTCCTTTTATATGTTATCTTTTATCAATAAAGAAGAATTCCATTAAATATAAACTTTTGAGCTTTTTTGACTTGCATATAAGTATAGAGACCTCCGGTCTTTATATACATTATTTCGTCTGCATAGACACCGGCGATCTTTATAAAGGACTAATTGGTCTGTATAGAGACCACAGAGACCAATTGGTCTGTATAGAGACCCGAGACCACAGGTCTTTATAAAGACCAATTGGTCTTTATAGAGACCACAGGTCTTTATAAAGACCAATTGGTCTGTATAGAGACCACAGGTCTTTATAAAGACCAATTGGTCTGTATAGAGACCACAGGTCTTTATAAAGACCAATTGGTCTGTATAGAGACCACAGGTCTTTATAAAGACCAATTGGTCTGTATAGAGACCACAGGTCTTTATAAAGACCAATTGGTCTGTATAGAGACCACAGGTCTTTATAAAGACCAATTGGTCTGTATAGAGACCACAGGTCTTTATAAAGACCAATTGGTCTGTATAGAGACCACAGGTCTTTATAAAGACCAATTGGTCTGTATAGAGACCACAGGTCTTTATAAAGACCAATTGGTCTGTATAGAGACCACAGGTCTTTATAAAGACCAATTGGTCTGTATAGAGACCACAGGTCTTTATAAAGACCAATTGGTCTGTATAGAGACCACAGGTCTTTATAAAGACCAATTGGTCTGTATAGAGACCACAGGTCTTTATAAAGACCAATTGGTCTTTATAGAGACCACAGGTCTTTATAAAGACCAATTGGTCTGTATAGAGACCACAGGTCTTTATAAAGACCAATTGGTCTGTATAGAGACCACAGGTCTTTATAAAGACCAATTGGTCTGTATAGAGACCACAGGTCTTTATAAAGACCAATTGGTCTGTATAGAGACCACAGGTCTTTATAAAGACCAATTGGTCTGTATAGAGACCACAGGTCTTTATAAAGACCAATTGGTCTGTATAGAGACCACAGGTCTTTATAAAGACCAATTGGTCTGTATAGAGACCACAGGTCTTTATAAAGACCAATTGGTCTGTATAGACCAATTGGTATGTTTAGAGACCAAACGTCTTTGTAAGGACCAATTGGTATGTATAGAGAGCAAAGGTGTTTATGAAGATCAATTGGTCTGTATAGAGACCACAGGTCTTTATAAAGACCAATTGGTCTGTATAGAGACCACAGGTCTTTATAAAGACCAATTGGTCTGTATAGAGACCACAGGTCTTTATAAAGACCAATTGGTCTGTATAGAGACCACAGGTCTTTATAAAGACCAATTGGTCTGTATAGAGACCACAGGTCTTTATAAAGACCAATTGGTCTGTATAG